AGGCAGGGCTGATGATGATGATGGTGTTAGTGCGAAGGGGCCTAAGATAGAGGTACATGGACTAAGAGGTTCATCGTAGTATTCATGGCAGGGCACGTCCCCACCGCCTCCTCCTCCTGCCCCAGTGCCAGCAGCAGCAGCAAGCAAGACTGTGAACCCACTGATGCTACCACCGCATGAGATAGACTTAGTGAGAGGGCAACATGTAGTGTTGCAGAGTATACCCTATTTGCCGGCTAATCAGAGGGCGATCATTGAAGGGTAGTCATAGTCCTGCTGCTGGCATTGGTGTATATAGGCAAACTCAGATACGATCAGAAGACCTGTAAGTACAGGGTTACGTTGGTGAAGCAGCAGTCTACTACTTCACAGTCATCACCATCGGTTAATGACACCACGAGGCAGGGGTCGTCGTCGTGTATACCATCTAATGGGAATACCAGCCAATGGGCCGTATTCAGGGAGAACATAAGGATAGTCCCACCTTATGTGAGTGGAGCTACCACCAATATAGACATCGATATCGACGTTTATATTACTCAGCATATGCCCTCTCGTCACCCTTTCCCCTCCCGGCACTGTCTTCAACTGCAATTCTCTGGAACTGCACTTGACTACGCTAAGCATGATGGTGAAGGAGGAGGGTCGATCGGCATTGGAGATTCTGTAAGTGGCATATGCTGAAGAGTTGCTCTAGGGTGGATTAGATACTTGCTAGCATCAACGGTGGACGATTATACACCTTGGTGAATGTGGAGGAGTGTCAGAGGTTGGATGTTGGAGGGGAAGTGAAGAAGGCTATGAACGACGCGGCAGCAGCAGCATCATCTACCTATGCTTTGGTACTGTCCTACCCACCCGACAGTGAGGCTAAGCACCTGCAAAAAGAGTGTGATATAACATCAGTACTCTCACCAGGGGAGGCTCATATCAATGGGGACTGGATGCTCTTTAGGTGGGCTCCCTCCACACTATCAAGGATAGTGGTATTCCTCCTATCTCAGGCCCGGTGATAAGGTCTATGCGCCTTCATCTATCGATAATGGCCGTTTTCTACCTGCTGTTATTGCTGAAGACCACCGAACAGGAGAGCCGACGGAGGCGCACGAGACTCTGCCAGTTGCATTCACTCGTGGAGGAGGAGGCAAGAAAATCGAGAGGTGATCCTTACTCTATTGCTGGACGATTTTACAGTGTTCATTCCCAGGGTTCCACGGTCATTTATTTTCCGCCGCTCTTCGATGCAAGATGAGGGAGACCAGTCATCTGTCTCGCCGGGTGCCGAGAAGAAGAGAGGGACAAAGCGCGGTGTAGTGAGTGGTGTGGTATGGTCCTGTGATGGTGTCTTTAGGGTGGGGAAAAGGGAGAGGGTCAAGGGGTCGCATGCCGTAAACATCGCAAAGTGGCTACTTCCACATCTGACCAGGTGAATGAGGATCACTCCTCATTGTAAACGGTTAATCTTTCTCAGCTGGAGGCCAGCGACTCTCCGGGTCATAAAAAAGTGCCACTACTGGAGGAACTTGGCCTCTATGATGATGACGAGGAGAAGGGGGAAGGGAGTTCGACACGGATGACCGATGAGGAATGGAAGGTGAGCAGCGCTACGACGACCGATGTGGGGTTGTTCACCTTTATATCACTCATACAGGTGGTTGAGAAGAGTCTACATATTCTCAGGAGGTTCGGAATAGACGCTTTAGTTAACTCAGAAAAACGGGAGGTTTTCCCTGTCCCCAGCACTCAGAAAGTGGGGTATGGCCATGTGAAGCGGAGTTGATATTTGACGTTCAGGTCGACAGTGAAGAGTGGAATTCGCCATCAGATCTTCGTAGATGGGTCGAACAGGTAGTAGGTCTGCTATCTCAGGGTGTGGATATTCATGCTAGTACACTCAGAGATCACCGTGGCCTCGGAAGAAGGAGATGTCTGATACCGATATTCTCCGGAAACTGACGGGGATTGAGGCACACGAGTGCAGTTCTTTTTGGATGGTTGATCAGGAGAAGTGTGTAAAGGAAGAACAATGATGACGATACAACTTCGCGATTACTTTCTGCTATTATTATTCTCCACACTTGAACGTATACTAACTTTTAGCAAGCTTTAGCTGCCTGAGAACCCCTGTTGGGTTTCAAGAGTAACAGCGTTATCATTACACACACAACCTGACCTCAAGGGTACAGAACAACTACCACCAATGTATGGAACAAGATTCTCCGCCGTCCTGGTCGATATTGCGGAGCGAGCGGAGCATATACTGCAACAACAGGCACTTTCGCGTTGTGAGTGCGTGCGTGCAGAATTATTCTGGCTTAACTGCGAAGCGTGGGAGGCTATCATATAGGTCAAACGACTCCTCTGTATGAGGAGGTATTGGGAAAAATTGGTTAACTCGATTATGCGAACAGCTCGAAGAGATATGCACGTAACACTTTAATGATGGAGAAATGTCCTACCCGGAGATCGAACCGGGGACCTATGTAAAATTCATTGATTGAGTCCATGGACGTGGATTCAGTGAGCCCCGCCACTTCATCACTAAGGCCTAGTTGAATAAATGTAGAGTGTTGCTGTGATGCGGTACTGAAGACATGGTCGTAAACAGCGAGTCAATTGGGGTCCAAAATATCAGGCGTATGAGAGAAATTCACCGATCTCGAATTACTGTAACTAAACACGCTGCTAGCCCTTCCAAATGAAGCATTCTACGGTCAACATATCCGCATAAACTCTGTTGCTATTTAGACGCGTGTACCATCTTTAAAATGCTGTTTCTAGGGCGTGGCAAGGTCCAGTCGAAACTCGTCTTGTGGGATCTGGGAGTTCCACCACTCAAAACTATCCAACTCAAAATTACACATATCGGAAAATACTCGATCATAATAATAGTGTAGTTTAACCGATTTCGATACCGGCGAGGGCCAGATCCCGATCCTTCATATTCTCGTCGCCACCTGTAAACATATTACAAAGAACACAGCATCCAGAGAGTCCCTCACCGCCGAAGATATCCTCCTCTTCTTCACCTGGTTTGGCCACCACAACATTGTCCGTAAATGTACCATCTGACTGTACATCCTCTCGCTGATACACCTACACGCAGAAATAATCGTCGAATAGTGACACGCATGAACCTGCCTGTATGTAGGTTTCCATAAGGGCAACACTCTGCGGCAGAATAGGAGCCACATTCAAATCATGAGTTTCTTGCCATTGGTTTGTTCCTGATGGCAATCCCGTCTGCTGTTTTCATTCTATTCACATCTCACTTGAATGTAACACATATGCTTTGTAGACTCCCATGCCCGCCTCCGGCTGGCCGGAATGCGACACCAGCCCGACGAGGTCGTATCTAGGAGATATCCTACTCTACTGCGAAGCTAAGAGCTTTACTTGGTGTGTTCGTTTATGTTGTGCCAAGATGGATGAACCCAATCCTTCATGTCCAACCCCTTCAATGGGAAACGAACGAGAGTAGGATTCTTCTCAACTGTGAAGTTATTCTTCTTAAACCTGAACTCACATAAAGTGAAAACACCGTCACTAGTACTACTACCTCTTAGTAACGAATATAAGGTAAGGAGGCAACCGCTTGAGCGTATACTTCCGCAACTACAGTGGAAAACAACACACTTCAATGCATACCTCTGAATGACCTAACCTGCCGATGGACCAAATCCTCGACTATAGTCTCTCCGTTGAACTTATCGAGTAGCGAAATCATTGGCACCTGATACGGTGTATGGTGATGATGGCCGACCTACTCAGTAGGGCATCATCATCACCTGTGGGATGAACTCCTGTGTGTCCTTGAACAGTGGGGCATCCGGTAGATCCAACGTGAGGGTGAGGAACTCCTAAAGGGTGTAGAATAGACTCGATAGTAGCTGTGCGGCGTACAGAGGTAGTCTCTTCCCAAACATCCCCAGCGGTTTGACTATCGAGGTTACGACAGGTCTTCACCAAGATCTCACCTGAGCAGTATGTAGCCTAATACCAGACACTACTTTAGTTAACTACCTTTGAATATTTTGTTGATAGTTTTGTGAGGTCTGAGATGATTCAACAGCCACGTGAGGAACTCCGCGGGGTCCCTCTGAAAAGGGTAGATCAATAATCAATATTTCCACCATTATACCACTACTACCTGTGATGTGAAGAAATGCTTTTTACTTTTGATACTAACAACTTGGAGGAACTCATGAGGCGATACCACACCCTGAACACTTCCATACTGATATCCCATCCCTCCCTCCTCAGACGCCCTCCATCACCTTGAAGTTCTTAGCATTGTACGTCTTCCTAAACAGCTCAGCAAGAGCCTCCGTAATATCCGTCCGACTCGCGTCAAGATCTTGTTTCTTCGTCAGTAGGGAATTCCTCAGTGGTACAACCTGTTACACAAACATAGTACAGACCATGCAGTAAAACATATACATAGTCAACCACATGTGTTGGTAACAATACCAAAAATCTGAGAAAATTTTGTTAGTTTCTGTACCCTCCCAATTCTCATACACACTCAGCTGAGGAAAGTGAACATATTTTACGTGTTGGTCACAACATGAAAACTTGGAGGAAACTGCAGGAAATTCTTTGTGTGTCTCGAACACTACTACTCTAATTCTTGTAATGAGCAGTAGCAAGAGTAAACCGCTGAACTCAAACATATATTCCTCCCATCAAACTGACCTGTTGTAGTATCTGAACGATCACATTGAGGTAGTCAGTGCCACCACTTATCGTATTCAACCCGACACAGCCCGGCAGGAAGGGCCGGCCGTCCAGTGTGAAGCCGATAGCCGTAGCTGATGATACGACACACACATACCCCCATACACAGTTAAAATTAGCATTACATTTATCAATAGTGCTATTTAGCATATCTCTGGTAAATGTAGGATTGAGGTTATACCGTATATCGTCCAAAGAGGCATCAATAACCTCATACCCATCCGGTATACAATACCTACCCCGAAGAGCCTGTGCATCCAGTCTGCGGAGGAGAACAGCCTTACACTCTAGTATTCTTGAGGTTAATGAAGACGTAATGATCCTTCTCCAGAGCATGCGTATAGGCACACGTCCCTTGACCTCTACCAGTGTAATACTTACCGCATACCAAACACGCGTAGACATTCTCATTCGAAAGGGTTACACTACAGACCTTTTCGAAATCGAAGTCTAGCATATTCCTGTTTACAGTACCTGACAATTCGGCTACACCCTATACCACCCAACTCTGTGAAATAACGCCCCCCCAGGGTTTCATAGCAATGTTTCGACATTCACATGGGAAACTGATGGGAGTTCCTAGCCATACGTGGACCCCCCCGGGAACATTATAGTTTTGTGGATGATTCCCTCCTTACTACCCAGATAGGGACACTTTTTCTCCATAGTTTTATTAACCTTATCCAATGCCTTGGAGATCCTCGGCCGCTTTGCAGGAGCTACATCCATCTCACCAGGAGGAGGAGGAGGAGGAGGAGACATTCACTACTGATATGATCAACAACAAACTTCCTTTTATTCACTAACGAGCTATACTCGATCGGGCCTAAGACTGACAATAACGAAAACAGTACTTCCCCGTACTAGTACTCAACATTATAGAGTGATAAAATATTGAAAAGTATCATCAACTTTGAAGTCAGTGCCCCCATCGATGTCCTGCCGTATTAGCTCCAACCCTTTGAGCAATGTACGTGTTGATCTGCTCGAAATTGCGATTCAGGGTCGCCGGATCGGACACTGTGTCCGTGTAAAACCCCGCCCATAGTGATGCCACTCGGTCATCCCCCGCCTCCATTCTCTCCTTTATAAAGGGAGAGTACAGCTCCATGATCCACGTCTTATACACCTCCGACTGGCGTACCGCCAATGGGAAGTGCCGCATCGGACAGCTGCTCTGCGGAGGGCCGCTCTGCCCACAACGGCCACTGATAGACTCTCGTACGCCTGAAGACGATACATGATCACCAAGTTAGATGAGAAATGTCCCTACATGGGAAGCTGGCCACCTCATGAGAGTACCGACAGGCATCTCCCTCCCTACACCCTCGTCCCAATACTATGTAGAATTTACACGGCACACTGGCCATAGCATCACGATGAGCCTTCCTGAGCTTGCCAGCAGCCACCTCGTCGTGGCTGTATGAACAGGCGTCGCCCTTGGCACACCTCCCTTGAGCATAGTACCGACAAGGGGTTGCTTTAACACCTATACAAGAGATTACCATAAACCCTCCACTACTAAGTATTACCATCACTACTGCTATACAGAGATTGAAACCACTCCTTCTTCCTCTCCCTAGCATTCATAGGAGGCCGAGCGGCAGGACTAGGTGAGGCGACCACCCTGGGAGTATTATCATCATCAGGGAATAAGTTGCCTCCTATATTTTCATCAGTCTCCTCTGCTGTTGTCGGGGGCGTATCAAGCATAGTGGCAGTACTGGCTGTTCTTCTTCTTCCTCTTCCTTAGTGTGAAGTCCAATAACCTCATCCCAAGTGAGCCAATGGGACGCTAATGCAGTTACCACGTCAACTCCTCCTTCCTCCTTGACGTCCGACAGCTTCGTCGTACATGCCTCCACGCTGCCGCAGCACTTTCAAGGGAGTCCGGCCAGGCACATGCTCCTCTACACAGTGTTGAGCGGAGATCACCGGTGTCGAGACCTCCGTGGGCAGTCCCTGAACAAAAATATTCTTAGAAGTAGTAGTGAACTGAAACAGACCTCATCTAAGGGGTGTTGCACTGCAGCGGCATCATCATCACAATACTCAGCTGAATGTAATAACGATGAACCGGACTGATATTCTCTCGTATAACCTCTAGTTGCATCCACTTCCTTTTCTGATCGCTTCCGTTTAGCCCTAGGTTGCCGACCCCCTTCCTCCTCCTCCTCTGCATCACCAGCTACCCTCCTCTTCGTAGGAGACGGACTACCAGTCGGTGGGGCAACACCAATGACGGGTGCTTCTGACGACGTATCAAGCTGTGCCTCTGAGGCTACCTATAGGAGGAGGAGGACTGGTTCAGAATACTGGAATATATTCACCTAGCATCAAATTCGTTCTATGTTACTACCTTGGCTATCTTCTGGGTATTCCCAGAAGGGTTTATCTGCTCCTTAGCATCATCATGATCCTCCACAATAGATGAAGACGCCGGGCCTAACCCCCCTTGCCCTGTCGTCGTTGTCTGTATGCTGCCCTGTATGAACATAGAGAGCATACCCTCCAGTCGGCTCATCGTGGACTCTAGACGGTCTATCCTGTTGGTCACATCTGGAGTAGCAGTAGAGGAGGGAGACATGGTCATTATACGGTACTACTGATAGGAAGGTATGATGAAAGACACATGATATTAAAAAAACCCAACCTTCTGGAACTGACCTTACAACTAGAAATAATTTCATGGCGCAGTGAAAAAAATCTTCAACGTTTTTTTGTTGCCACCACAGTTTCGACATGGATTCGAACCTGTCACTGGGCATGTTTCACAAGGATACTTAATTTAAGGCGCCTTAAATATAGGAGCAACTTAAGGACTTACTTAAGGTATACTTAAGGAGTTACTTAAGTTTAAGGCGCAATTTGCTCCTATGAAACAGGCCCACTATTCCTTTCGAGGCCACTATCCCCGACTCGGGGGCATCGAGCATACCACCAACTAGAATGCTCGTCTAACGCTAGGAGAACCGAGTCATCCTTATGCTCTTTACTGTATCCCCTTTACACGACAGCTTCTCTTCAGAGCGGATCGATAACCCGATCGACTCATCATTGTGTATGTGTGTTGTATATGGATGCAATGCTAGGTGCTATTTACATCTTATCAACCTCTTTCCAACATAAAAACTTCATTTCACCAGGCGAGCGAAGATATCCCAATCGAAACTTCAATTCGACGGTGCGCGGTTTAGGAACTTCAATTTCGAAGTGATAGTAACTTCTTTTTCGCACATAGGAACATCAATTTCGGTACAACTTCAACCGTAACTTCTACCCTCAAGCGGTCAATCATGATCGATTCTCGACCGAAGGAGATCCTTCATTTTCCGATAAAGAGCAGTCGATGAGAAATTGATTCCTTTGCTATCTCATTGAATCTCCACAAGCACCTTCAACACAGTACGGTTTTGACTTAGAAATTCCACCGAGCGCCGTAATGCCAGTCACTCTTCCAAACGCTGGATTTCTACAACACTGTCACTAACGGCATCGGCAACGAATAGTCTCCCATTTCTCTTATCAATAGCGATATCCAATGGAAAGACGTTAGTTACGACTTCAACAGAAGGCTCAACCGTATCTAGGGTGATCTGCCAGACGGACATGTTTCCATACATACCGAAGTAAGCCCGAGGTCGTCCATCAGCATCGAAACGTCTGCGGTCGTCCACTGTGACTGCGCAAGGTGCCGTCTGCATAGGACCAGTCAGGTCATGGCCAATAGGATCGTCACCCCGCCACAATATCAATCGCTCGTTCTGAGTATCGGCCACAATTAGGCAGTCTCGTCCTTGTTGATCGATGAAAACGTCGAAGTCCACAGACCAGCCCAACTTCTCTAATGATCCTCCCATGCTGGACCGATACGTCGACAGTACCGAAATGATTTCAGTTTTCCTGCCCATCGGACGGATGCGAACAACACGTGAGTTGTCATAGTCCAATAAGTAAATCAAGCCCGTCTTAGAAGAGTGCTTGATCCCGATGACAGAGCCGAGGTTCAGGTCCGGGATATCCAGGGAACGGACAACGCTAGGGTCGATCAAGGATACGGCGATGACCCTGCCATTCCCCTGCGGACCTTCCGAACTTGGACAGGCTATTAGCACTTCATTGCGCGATCGATCTATGCAGATGCGGTGACCCAAGGTTGGCAACTTCCTGATGAGCCGAGGTTCGCGACAGCCTTCTACAGTAGTCGACTGGGACTCCTCTTCCCCAACGCTAGATCTTCGGATAGGTCTCGCATGAGCCTCCACGCCTCTCATGGCACTTCTCGGACCTCCTTACTAACCCGATCTATCACAATGAGATGCTCAGAATCATTGGTGACGCACACGGAACCTTCACCGTCACACCCTTTCACCAAACTCCGAATGACCCTGAATGGACCGATCCGTACCCGACAGTAATCCCATATCGAGGAAACATAAGCAACATGGTCTACACGTTGGTCTAGCGATCGCCGCCAGAGAGTAAGGGCCGCCAAGTTCAAACAGGCACGCTCCTGGAGAGAGGCAACGGGTAAGATGGTGTCTACCATTGAGAGAATATCGCAACTATGATTAAAGTGGTGGTGTTAGGATTAGATAACTCAGCAAGAGTTATTAACAAGTGGTTCTTAACTAATGATCAATACAGTAATCATAAAGAATACGCTAGGCTAGCGAGGGAGACTAGTATCACAAGAATCTAAAATTACAGAAGACACTTGTGTACAATATTTCCTCACAAGTGGTATCACTGATGATACTACGCAGTCTCTCGAGATAGTCACCCCATAGAGAAATAACGGGATATGCAACCACTACGGTATAGATCTCTTATCCAAGTCCGCAGCTTGCTCCTCTCCTTGTGTTGCTGTTTCGTGGAGCTCTTGTCGGGTTATAGCGCAATTATGTATACATTTTATGGAGCATCTCGACTGGCTACCGAGGACATTAGGCAAAACGAGATTCCACAAGCTGCGTTTTTCCCATGATGTTACAGCCACTTGGAGTTCAAGATTTCCCACCCTATCACCAATCTTACTACATATATCGATTATTACGTGACCTCGGTTTTCGAGTCAAGAATCTCAATAGTAGTGTCGACTGATTAGCGGGCGTTCCACCATTATGGGCGTACGATACAGTAGATCGCAACACAGTGACACAGTCAATGGATCCCTCCTGAGTTTTAATTTCATCTCATGGATGTAAAACTAGATCCCGGAGTGAGGTGTCACCCCGTGTAATTTTTAGAATCGGCGTCACCATTAATCTTGCACTCTTGCAATTCCTCAGTAAGCTGAGCTCGCTTATAGTGGGCGCCGCAGCCTCAGCCTAAACTTTCCACTTCTTGTCGTTTCAAGATCATCAATGGTAGCTCTGATCGGTCTTCGAATATCGATGATGACAGTTCCCCGATTTTTTCCGAATAATGGCTACTACTAAGATGGACGCGGCTGCGATCAATGCAGCTGCAGTGACCAGGGATTACACTATCAATCCTCGTGTTGAGTATCAGACCATCACGGGTGTTGAGGTAGAGCTTATGCTTCTTACACTCTTCTCATCGGTTTTGTCAGGGTCCCTTGGTTATCCTTGATAACGTGAAGTTCCCCCAGTACAATGAGATCGTGAATCTCACTTTGGCTGATGGCTCCACTAGGCAGGGACAGATCTTGGAAGTCAACGGCTCCAAGGCTGTCGTGCAGGTAAATATTTTGTCCTTTTTCTGTAGTTTATTATTCTCTATCAGGTCTTCGAGGGCACTAGTGGTGTCGATAACAAGAACTGCTACATTGAGCTCACGGGTGATACCCTCAAGATGCCTATGTCCGATGAGATCATGGGTCGTTCCTTCAACGGTTCCGGTCAGCCCATCGATAAGGGCCCTCAAGTCTTGGCCGAGGAGTACCTGCCTATCAATGGTTCCCCCATTAACCCCAAGTCTCGTCAGTACCCTAAGGAGATGATTCAGACCGGTCTCTCTGCCTTGGATACCATGAACTCAGTCGTCCGTGGCCAGAAGCTACCTTTGTTCTCTGCTGCCGGTCTTCCTCATAATGAGATCGCCGCCCAGGTGTGCCGTCAGGCTCAGCTTGTCCAGGGTAAGGATATCCATGATCACTCCAAGGAGAATTTCTCTATCATTTTCGGAGCTATGGGTGCCAATATGGAAACTGCCCGATTCTTCCGTAATGATTTCGAGGAGAACGGTTCTATGGAGAATGTGGTCTTGTTCATGAACTTGGCTAACGATCCCACCATTGAGCGTATCGTCACTCCTCGTTTCGTGCTTACTGCTGCTGAGTACTTCGCCTACGAGCGTGAGCAGCATGTCTTCGTCATCTTGACTGATATGTCCTCTTATGCTGATGCTCTTCGTGAGGTCTCTGCTGCCCGTGAGGAAGTCCCCGGTCGTCGTGGTTACCCCGGTTACATGTAAGCTTGGGTTACTTGTTCATGTGGGATGAATTAGTAGTCGCGCCCAAGGATGATAAACACTTACTTCTCACTTAGTATTCTGAGTGCAATTGAAAATGAAGAAAACCGTGGTCATGCTAATCTGAGGGTCTCAGTTACTTGCCACTTCACATAGTGTTGACTATTGTTGCCAATTTGTGTATTTTTCAGGTATACCGATCTCGCCACCATTTACGAGCGTGCCGGTCGTGTTGAGGGCCGTAACGGTTCCATCACCCAGTTCCCCATCCTGACCATGCCTAACGATGATATTACTCATCCTATCCCCGATCTTACGGGTTACATCACTGAGGGCCAGGTCTTCGTCGATAGATCTCTGCATAACAGACAGGTGTATCCCCCGATTAATGTCTTGCCCTCTCTGTCACGTTTGATGAAGTCCGGTATTGGTCGTGGTATGACTCGTGAGGATCATCCTAGTGTGTCCGATCAGCTCTATGCTAACTACGCTGTTGGTGTCGATACTCGTGCCATGAAGGCTGTCGTTGGTGAGGAGGCTCTTAGTGAGGAGGATCACTTGTACTTGGAGTTCCTTGATAAGTTCGAGTCCAAGTTCTTGAGCCAGGGTCCCTATGAGAACCGTGATATCTTCCAGTCATTGGATATCGCTTGGGAGCTCCTCCGTCTCTTCCCTGAGAGTATGCTCAAGAAGGTGCCCCAGAAGGTCAAGGATAAGTACTATCCTCGTGATCGTGAGGCTCAGAAGGCCGCTCAGGAGTCCAAGTAGTTGTCTTCATCATCATCAGCAGCAGACGCTTGTGCATTTTCTATTGCTACAAGGACCAACTTCCATTGAGTTGTTTTATAACAATTGCCACTGTTCCGTAGACAGTAAGGAGGTATGTCTCCTTCTGTGGGTGAGTGATCTCTGTCGAGGAATTCTCTACCACAAGTCAAATTTGCGTTTGTAGTTAATCACATAATTGACGTGTCGTGTCCAAGAAGTTACAGCCCAAGTAGTATTGTCACCAAATAGGCGAAGCCCTGCAAGTGGATGAGCGATTTATCGGAGAAAGGAGATTCTTATTGAACCTAGTGGAATCTCCATCAGAGTGTAAACGATCATTAATCGACTAACTAGTCGGAATTGACATCACCTATAATTATCACTCCTATTAATAGTGTCTGCGTTACTATCAACGTCATCATGATACGATACATGCCTTAGCATGCTCATCTCTCCAAGATCGGACTAGCAGGTCCCGCCAGTCCTACTCTAGTAGAAACTGAACGTGTAAGTGTGTAGGAGGTCAACATGGCTATGACACATTCTATCAACCACCAACAAATCGATAAAGGAGTTAACCACCAAAGAAATCCGTGCAACCACCACCGACTAACAACACAAGACAACCCTCAGGTGAGGGTAATATGTACATCATTCATGATCATCAACATCTTGGTACTAGTTGTAGTAATAAAAATAATAATACTCCTACAGCGCTACTATGCATACTTCACACATTCACTAAGGAAAGCCTCAGCGATCAGTTTCGCATGAACTGGCTTTACAACATTATTGACATTCAGAGGCATGTTGCTCTCCTTCACATATTCCAAATCAGAGTTATAATAATCTCTCCTGTAAGTACTAGAACTCTTGAAAGGTAACTTCACCGGGGGTCGGCTTACTCCACTGCTATAAGTCATTTGTCTACCCAAACCAATGCTAGTATCAGGCGCCGGGTAGTGTTCATGAGCAAGGCTGTTTGTGAACAACAATGGCGCTTCTAGGTCGACATGCAACTCCCCTTCAGGTCTGCAAATGCCAGGTTTTGCTTTTTCTCTTTCTGTTGCAGTGTGCTTCTGGTAGGAGTCTCGAAATGTAGTCATAGAATTCAGCGAACTGACACCAGAGACATTTCCTCCCGAGCCTGCGAATGCTTGCTTGTGAATCTTATATAACTCTCGATTGACGATAACACCATGTAAGGGAAGTTTTACATAATCTTGTTGGTATGTGCACATAGACCTGCAAGAATTGTTGCTTCATGAGCTCCTCACAACGCACCGGCCTACTTCTGATAAGCAGGAGCCTTAGGAATCTCCTTTTCGACGACCTGGTGAATCATCCTCTTACAAGATTCACTTCGACCCCCCACAGACGATGGAGGTCCAAAGCTCTCAGCTGTCGAAGTAGAAAAATACATCTACACACGGTCCGTGGACATCACCAACATCGTTGAAAGTTAAAAAGGACCTTATTTAATGTGGCTTTGTCAAGGCTCCGATATCCTTGCGGCGCTATGCTACTGATATTACTCATAGTAACCAACAATGTTAACTGACTACCAATTCCATACCGTAACAAACGCAACTAAGTTAGAATGGAACATCGGGAGCCTATGAGCCATGGTATACATCAGCAAATGCTTATAACCGTCCATAGTGACCGACACTGATAACTGACCATCAATATCATACCGTAACAAACGCAACCGAGTCAAGATTCAACATCGGCAGCCTATGAGCCATGGTATACATCAGCAAATGCTTATCTAGTACGACCACTTCGCATGCGACTTATAAGGCCCTTCGAAGACAACTCTTTCCAAGGCGTGTTCATAGTCACATTATGTGATATTCCACTAGTCGAGCCGAATGCCTCGTACGAGCCGGGACCAACTTCGCCGCTAGTCGAAGTAATAGCCGTGTAATCTGCACCAGCAACGCCCGTTGAGAACCGATCAGAACGCGTTTCAGCAGCGCTCACGCCCTGGTATTCTCTAAGACTGTATTCACCAGGACCAGGAACATCACGAATAGTGAAGGCTCCTCCAGTGTGACCAAATCTATCATGGCTAGTGCCAAAACTCAAATGCTCATTTTTCGCCTTCTTATTAACATTATTATAAGTCACTTCATCCAACATGAGTGGACTATACGTCGTAGGTGTCGGCCCATGAACTTTAGGGGGCCTTTGCACAGTGCGCCTCTTAGATGTGATACGTACACGTCGCGAGCGTGGCGATGCTTTTCTCCCCGGGCTGACCGCTGACCGAGGAGATCGTACTTCTTCTAATTCATGTCGTTTACTCCTATGCATGGCAGATTCTCCCAAAGTAAACGCCGAACCAGCATCGCGACTCGCACATGTGCCGAAAACTCCTTTGCGACCAACCGCAGTTTTCTCCAACACTGATTTCACCATGGAAATAACCTCAGCCGTATTGTATTCATCTGGACCCGGGGTCCCTTGTACCAACGGTTTATTACACGGCCGACAGTCACTCGAGTGAAACGCACTCACAGGCTTATGTTTATCAAGCGCTTCCGTCACTATTGCCATATGCAGTGGGTTATGTACACCATAATATTTCCTATGTTGCCTCAAAGCTACCACAGGGTCCTCAGACCTTCGCACATGTACCCCCGGGACCACTTCTAACCTATGTCGAATCGTCTTAGTAGTATACCCATCACCACCCACTTCAGGAGCAGTCGCACGAGCAAGTACTGTAACTGCGTCTTCAGCTAGAGACAATTGTTTCGCATAGGCCCCCGGTCCAGGAACTCCACTATGCGTTGTAGTATAGGGCGTTTCCACCTTGCGAGCCCATCCATCACTGCGTTCAACACTAGACGAAAACGGTGCGTTTTTCCCCTTGCGAGATTTAATAGCCACTCTCGCATCACTATAATGACCACAAGTAATATCCAGAAAAGATTTCATTTCACTTTTCACTGAACTTTCTGTTGTCGAGCAACTCCAGTCAAGCACTTCTGCTTTTTTCACCGCTACGTCAACCTGGTGCGCCATAGGGACTTTACTTCTGAACTGACTCGTGCCCAAATTTGGGAATTTATATTCATTTTTATTCAACCCATGATATACTCCCGGACCAGGAACCGTCTTATCTGGCAGCGTATTCTCTATATGATGACTCGGCTCGAAAACCTCCCTAGTAGTTCTGTATTTATGCCACTGAGCATCGCGAATAGCAGGTGCGGTGAGCTTGCGTGCAGTGTCAATAAGGTAGTGTGCAGGGCCACATGTGTCTGTATTCACCCCAGTATACTTCATCACAGGGATAGCCAAATTTTCATCTCCTAGTGAACACTAAAAGAAAAACTAGTAAAGTTTCACCAACCTAGCAGTTGGTTTCCTCAACTGAGCTCGTAGGTTTCCTCACTATTCTATGAAAAATCTCACGATTTTGGGTATAAGCATACAAAAATCAACAATAATTGTTCAAAATTTCCTCAAAATTTCCATATTCCCAGCAATACATGTAGTTGACCATGCGCATATATTCCCGCACGGCACCCTAGTGATATGAAAAACACTAGTGAAGAACATAATTAACGACTACTGCATGTCACCGCGAATATCGCCTTTTTCACCGAGTTTCACACCACTTCACGTAAAACGGGTTGTGAAACTCCAATGTTGGAGGAATATATCTTCGCTGTTCTTAGCTGAGCTGAGCAGGAGTTTCTCACATGGAAACTCACATACGAATTCGGGTAGAAGTGTATAAAAACCAACAAAAAACTCCCGAGAATTTCATCATAATTTTTCACCAACACAAGTAGTTGACCATGTGCATATTTCCTCAGCTGAGCTCAGCGGGAGTTTCCTCACTATGGAAATTTACATATGACGAACTGTACGAAAATTTTTCTCATAATTTTTTAACTGTCACCAAACCAACCTCAGGAGGTGTTTCCCCACTCATCATAAAAATCACACTTTGCAATTTCGGCTAAAAGTGCACAAAGATTTCCTCATAGTTGAACATGTGCAAATTTCGCAATACAGGTTTGTTTTCCTCAGCTGAGCTCAAAAGTTTCCACACTACATTAGAATTTCACCCGTTTTACGTGAAGTGGCGTCAAACTCGGTGAAAAACGCGATATTCAACGCGGTGATATACAGTAGTCGTGAAATGTGTTTCACACCGGTGTTTTTTATATCACGCTCTGTGAAACTCCAGTATAAAAATTCACTCAAGACTACTGGTAGAAAGGTTCCGAAACCAACAAAATTTTTTCTATTTTTCACCAACACATGTACCTCATCATATGCATATTTTCCCAGACGACAATCAAAAAATTTCGAAATATTTTCTTATTTTCCCACATTACCCCTGGTAAAAGTCTACGAGGTGGTATTGTTGGTATGCCTCGACTGGCCGCCGGTATCCTTAGTGGAGTTCTGCGAGGGGGGCTCTCACTCTTCTCAGCAGCATCAACAGAATCACACTTCCCTAGATATGCTCCTGGACCTGCCATAGTACTCCTATTTTTACGGTATGCGATCAGCCCAAATAGGAGACAACTTGTTTGTGTCGCACTACAGATGACGCCTTGTATGATGATAATATTAGAGTTCCACCCATGATATGAAAAAGAAAATATTTCAGCAGAAAATAACGCGTAAAACGTGTGTTGTCGAGCGTTTTTCACATAGAGTTTTACGCCACTTCACGTAAAAGTCCAAAAAATGAAATAAATCCGTTCCAACATGCCCTCAAATTTTCATTATTTTTCTATTACCAGGACTGTTCACACTAGAACTAGCAGTGAATGGTGTACTCCCATCGGCGAGTGATGCCAGGCGTGCAGACCTAGACTTGAGCCCATACCCTACACCTCTGCCGTTGCTGTTCGCGCGCTCGGGGGCGTACGTCCCTGGACCTGTTGGAAAAAATATTTGGAATTTTCCGAAAAAAAAATTGAAAAATAGTGACGATTTTACAAAGTGTTGTAAAATACGCTCCGTTTTCCTGAGCTGAATTTAAAAGATTTCTCGCAAGTTATAGAAATCTACATACGAGCTCGAATGAGAGTGTACAGAAACCAGAAAAACTTTCCCGAAATTACGCAAAATTTTCATATTGGAGTTTCACCCTAGTGATATAAAAACACTAGTGAAAAACGCATTTCACGACTACTGTATAGCGCGAAAATCAGTTTCTCCATACAGCATTTCGCCACTTCACGTAAAGCGGGTGAAACTCCATTGTTACCGATACACATATTTTCCCACTCTTCTAGTCAGGGTTGGAATATATGTCTGCTTTTCTCACTTTTTTCCCAGAGTTTCATCACTAAAGTATACTAATTTACTTACAAATTCGGCTAGGAGTACTCACAAACCATCAAGAATTCCCCAAAATTTCCTCAGAATTTTCATATTTTCACCAACACTTGTAGTTGAACATGTACATGCTTCTGGTTACACATTGTCATTAATACACGCTTTCAGCGATCAGGCACTCACCGGGAGTTTTCGAGGCGATCGCCCGCGAGTAAACAGCAAACTTATCCTCTGTGCTTCTAAAGGGAACCTGAAAATGATCGCTTCCTATCACCAAGTGTTGGATTAGGAATGTATGTTAGCTCTCCTCAACTGAGCTCAGTGTATATGGCAAGTGTACAGAAACCAATAAGCATCCCTATATTGTCACCGACACATGTAGTTGACCATGCGCATATTTCCCCACAATGGCTGAAATACACGCGTACAAAAACTAACAAAAATTTCCTTAATTTTTTCATATTGTTACTAGCACATGTATTATATTATTCTGTTAATATAGGAGTTTATATACATACCACGCGTTCAGAAACCAATAAGAATTTTCATATTGTCACCAACACATGTAGCGTATATTCCCACATTGGTTAAGATGCACGCGTACAAAAATCAACAAAAATTTCTTCTCAGAATTTTCATATTGTCACTGAAACATGTTATATACTTTCCCACGATGATCGGCTGCAGCCTCTCACTACCTACACAAGTGATCTTTTGTTAATCATAAGAGTTATATACGTATAAAATTTTCATAAGAAATTCCAATTTCCCATACCACTACTACCACAGCTCCTCTAGTCCACAACTGCACAGTGTTCACTGACCCATCCGCCCTCACTTCCTCACGAACCTGTTTTATAAAAACTCTCTATAAAGCGCTCCGATGAGCACTCACCGCAACAGGCGCACCACTAGGCAATTTCGGGTTGTATTTCCCAGGACCAACCGCGGTGTTAGTACTACTTACAACATGCGATGCAGGGAAATCTCGAGGAGATCTGCTGAGAATTATAGACATTTAGTGTTGAAGGAATATATAAGTTTGCTTTTCTTAGAAACACAGAAAACCAAGATAAATTTTCCACAATTTTCATACTGTCACCAACACATGTAGTTGACCATGTGCACATCTCTCACACTGGCTGAAATACAAGTTCGTTTTCCTCAGCTGAGCTCAGAAGTTCATCAGTTATAAAATGTACAGAAACGAACACTTATTTTCCAAAAATTTCCCAGAATTTTCCCCCACTTTACTTCCCAAATAACAAAATAACACATACGTTCGAAACGAAGATTTTCCAAAATTTCCTCAGAATTTCCCTAAATTTCCTCTGAATTTTCCGTATTTTCCCACGCCCCAAATAACAACAAAACACATACGTTCGGAAACGAAAATTTTCCAAAATTTCCTCAGAATTTTCCAAAATTTCCTCGGAATTTTCCGTATTTTCCCACACCCAAAATAACAACAAAACACATACGTTCGAAACGAAGATTTGCAGTATTACTATTTGTCAACGTCCCCAAGCCGCGAAAGCTTGCTTTAGCATATCGTTGACCATAAGGGTGATCCCAGCAGTAGGAGCGGCTTTCAACACTGATACCGGCAAGCCTCTATATAACCTCATTACTCCACCACCATCGCC